ATGAAGTGTTGCTCCACACATTTATCAGAAGAGAACTGAGACACAGAACATTTTACACTTTTCTACTTTATCAGCACAAATATCTAAACATCTTAAATCAAGACACATTTACTGGAGAAGAAGCAAAATGACTGAAGATATTAATGTGAATTTACTTTTATATCATGTGACTCAGATGAAATGATTATAATGTCATAAATGCAGCTTAAATCCTTCTGCTGTTTTTCCATTAATCAAAGCGTTCATAAAGAAAGATGTGATCAGTGTTAAAATCAGACCTGATGTGATGAACGCAGCAAACATCATGAAAAATTTCACAACAGAGAATCAAGATCTTTCTCATTAGCAGATGCTTTTATCCAGAGAAAGAAACGAAGCACACGAGCGATTCGTCCTGAGAGGAATGAGTCGTGTTCGACAATATCTCTACCTTTCTTACACAGAACAACCTCCTGGAAAACAACCAGTCTGGTTTCAGAAGGTTCACTCAACTGAGACTGTTCTGCTCTCGGATATTGAAAATCTAATACTCGAGAGCAGCTTCCAAATCATTCAGTACTTTGACACTGTTCACCACCAGATCCTCCTGTCAATCCTTATGACGAAGGGCATCTCAGGAACATCACTCCAGTTGTTCAGGTCTTAAAGGGGTGAGGCGTCTAAAGGGCTGTTCACACCAAGAACGATAACTATAACGATAACTATATTTGCGTCCATAGCGGTCTGTTTATTCTAAGCTCGCCCACTGCGGTTTCAAAGTGCATACAACGTCATTGAACACGTTTTTGCAGTTCTCAGGGTTCAGTGCTGGGTCCGCTTCTCTTCTCCATCTACATGTCTTCCTAGGATCTGTCATTCAGAAACATGGTTTATCCCATCACTGTTATCATCTAGATACTGGAGTGCCTCAGGGCTCAGTGCTGGGACCGCTTCTCTTCTCCATCTACATGTCTTCCTAGGATCTGTCATTCAGAAACATGGTTTATCCCATCACTGTTATCATCTAGCTACTGGAGTGCCTCAGGGCTCAGTGCTGGGACCGCTTCTCTTCTCCATCTACATGTCATCACTAGTGTCAGTCATTCAGAAACATGTTTTTTCCCATCACTGTTATCATCTAGCTACTGGAGTGCCTCAGGGCTCAGTGCTGGGACCGCTTCTCTTCTCCATCTACATGTCATCACTAGGATCTGTCATTCAGAAACATGGTTTATCCCATCACTGTTATCATCTAGCTACTGAAGTGTCTCAGGGCTCAGTGCTGGGACCGCTTCTCTTCTCCATCTACATGTCATCACTAGTGTCTGTCATTCAGAAACATGGTTTATGCCATCACTGTTATCATCTAGCTACTGGAGTGCCTCAGGGCTCAGTGCTGGGACCGCTTCTCTTCTCCATCTACATGTCATCACTAGTGTCAGTCATTCAGAAACATGTTTTTTCCCATCACTGTTATCATCTAGCTACTGGAGTGCCTCAGGGCTCAGTGCTGGAACCGCTTCTCTTCTCCATCTACATGTCATCACCAGTGTCTGTCATTCAGAAACATGGTTTATCCCATCACTGTTATCATCTAGCTACTGGAGTGCCTCAGGGTTCAGTGCTGGGACCGCTTCTCTTCTCCATCTACATGTCATCACTAGGATCTGTCATTCAGAAACATGGGTTATCCCATCACTGTTATCATCTAGCTACTGAAGTGCCTCAGGGCTCAGTGCTGGGACCGCTTCTCTTCTCCATCTACATGTCATCACTAGTGTCAGTCATTCAGAAACATGGTTTATCCCATCACTGTTATCATCTAGCTACTGGAGTGCCTCAGGGCTCAGTGCTGGAACCGCTTCTCTTCTCCATCTACATGTCTTCCTAGGATCTGTCATTCAGAAACATGGTTTATCCCATCACTGTTATCATCTAGCTACTGGAGTGCCTCAGGGTTCAGTGCTGGGACCGCTTCTCTTCTCCATCTACATGTCATCACTAGGATCTGTCATTCAGAAACATGGGTTATCCCATCACTGTTATCATCTAGCTACTGGAGTGCCTCAGGGTTCAGTGCTGGGACCGCTTCTCTTCTCCATCTACATGTCATCACTAGGATCTGTCATTCAGAAACATGGGTTATCCCATCACTGTTATCATCTAGCTACTGGAGTGCCTCAGGGCTCAGTGCTGGGACCGCTTCTCTTCTACATCTACATGTCATCACTAGGATCTGTCATTCAGAAACATGGGTTATCCCATCACTGTTATCATCTAGCTACTGGAGTGCCTCAGGGCTCAGTGCTGAGACCGCTTCTCTTCTCCATCTACATGTCATCACTAGTGTCAGTCATTCAGAAACATGGGTTATCCCATCACTGTTATCATCTAGCTACTGGAGTGCCTCAGGGTTCAGTGCTGGGACCGCTTCTCTTCTCCATCTACATGTCATCACTAGGATCTGTCATTCAGAAACATGGGTTATCCCATCACTGTTATCATCTAGCTACTGGAGTGCCTCAGGGTTCAGTGCTGGGACCGCTTCTCTTCTCCATCTACATGTCATCACTAGGATCTGTCATTCAGAAACATGGGTTATCCCATCACTGTTATCATCTAGCTACTGGAGTGCCTCAGGGTTCAGTGCTGGGACCGCTTCTCTTCTACATCTACATGTCGTCAGTCGCATCTGTCATTCAGAAACATGGTTTCTCCCATCACTGTTATGCTGACAACACACAACTCT